AATTGAAATTAATTTCATCAATCGTTAATTCAATTACTTAAAGTTCGATGGAAAGGGACACAACTTCTTGCATACCGCCATCAAGAAAGGCGACCTGGAAAGCGTGCTATTTCTGCTCTCAGTCAAGGTCGACGTCAATTCTCGGGTGCAGGACCCGAGCTTGAGTCCGCCTCTCCAATTGGCAGCCCGATGCAGCAACGAAACGCTGATCAGAAGTTTGATCCTGGCCGGCGCTCGCATCGAGGACAAAAACGTTCACAAGCAGACGGCCTTGCACATCGCCGCAGAGGCTGGAAATTCTCTTGTGGTACTCGCCCTGATCCAGAACAACGCCCATTTCGACGCCGTGGACGTTGCAGGCGACAACGCGCTGCATGTCGCCGTCCGCGAAGGTCACTTGAACGTAGTGCGCGTCTTACTGACCGAGTCTAACATTGACGCTGAAGCAATAAACATCAAAGGCCGCAATCCCTTACACGAACTATGCAAATATGGAAAAGAGAATGCAGCTGCTATTTGCGAACTATTCCTTGAATGCATGCCAGAGTATCCAATAAATAAGCCTGATCTTGACGTAAGTTGTATTTAAACACAATCTTAATTTCATAATTGTAATTGATGTTTATAATCTGTAGGGCAATTCGCCATTGCTGCTAGCGTACATGAAGGGAAATGGAAACTTGTGCCGTGTCCTCGTTAAAGCTAACGCAAGTTTAGCCGCGGAAAACCACGATCACATAACAATCTTCAATTACCAGGTTCGCGACATTCTCCTAAATATAACCGAAAATTGAACAATTCTGTTGCTTAGGTTGCTTCGAAACAGTTGCTGTACAGACTGCTGGATCAACTGTCTCAACCTGTGGCCTGGACCACTACAACTGATAAATGTCAGGAGTGCGGCGTAGGATTCACGATGATAAACAGGAAACATCACTGCCGCCATTGCAGCCGAACGCTCTGCAGCAAATGCTCCGACCAGGAAGTCCCGATAATCAAGTTCAACGAGAACAAACCGCTTCGCGTCTGCAAGGTTTGCTTCGACGTTCTAAAAACTGGAGTCAATTGAACTAAAAAAAACAAACCAAAACATATTTTTAAACCAAAATTTTTAAATTAACATTCCTACGATGCAGAAGAACAACACTAAAAACGTTTTCTTTGCTTTAAGTGTCACAGACTCTTTGTTTTAACGTTTCGTCTTTATTAAACGTAAGGAAATTATTTTTATATTAAAATTAATATGTAAATCACAAAAAAAAAATAATTCATGTACATACAACCTATCGATTATATATATTTATTATAATTTTCATCTATTAAACGTTTCCGAAACTAAAACTCGATCGTTTTTTTAATGGGGTATGTTACATAAAAGAAATCGTTGCTTAAATTAAGTTTATTGTTTATTACCTTTACATAATATTCTCTACATTATTTTTTTTTGTTATTTGAACTCGTTCACTTCAACTTGGAGAAGAGCTGTTCGGTGACGCAGTGGTCAATGGCATGGAGCATATCGAAGAGTTCCTCAGTGCAGGTCTCCGTTGTACGGGACTTTCCGTTCACTCTGTCATTGCACACTTGATACTTCTCTACAAGATGCTGGCAGTGATTAGACTCACGGCATTTGTTCTAAAAGTGCAATTACATAATTAACTTGCGTGCAGGTTATGTTGTCAGTTTTTCTCTCAAATTACCCTGAGGGTCTCTTGCGGATCGACCAACTCCTCTTCCTGAGCTTTAACACGGGGAAAGAAGTTCCTGAACATTTTAATAGTTTCCCGGGAATGAAAACTGAGAATTTTCCAATCGGATCTAACCCGAATCTCTTGCGTAATGACAGATGACAGTGGATGACAGCTAATGTCAAAAACGTCAAGATTGCATTGTTACCAATGCATATTTCAATCAATAAATACTGCCAACAAAATCGTTCGTATTTCACCAAATATTATTATTTTTAGCTTTAGTTCTTAACAATACGGTGCATTAATTGTACAAACATTGAATTGTCAAGCTTTTCTTCTCAAGAGAGTATTTAGGAGGTGGAGATGAGAATTGGCAAATTCGTCCAATTATGAAGTTCATTATCGATAAAACGAAATGTCTCTTTACATTTTATATATTCATCATCTACTTTATAAGTCTGCTGAAGGCGCTCGGTTACTTCAATCATCGGACGACTGGAAAGTCAAATATTTTTTCTTTTAACAATTTTCATATTGATGCACATGGACATGGACGTTGTTTTGGACTTGTTTGTGTGTTGCGCGAGAAGTGAAGCTTTTTTGACAGAATGGAGGTTATAAACTTCTGTGGCTGAAATTGTATTTTTGTTTTGCTCGCGTCGAACGAAACTCAAATATTAAATAAGTTCATAAAGTTTTTCAATTTTCAATTTCGCGAACAATAGTAAACAGTTCAAATATACAGGGGGTTCCAATGTGGGTATTGTAAGACTAAGGCCCCCCCCTCTCATAATAATAATGCAAAGCTCAGTCTATGAACCAAGTTGAAACTAATTAAGAAGGTAAAACTATTCAGGTCTTATTATTATTATTCACTATTGTTTTCGGGATATGTTTTTTTTCTTTTAGGATGAACGGGAACATGGATGGGAGAAATGCACTGGCCGGAGGTGTTGCACCTCCACCCCAAAGCAAGGCACCCAGGAATTACAAGCTAATTGTGGATCCGGTTCTTGTGAAGGGGGCCACCAAGGTGTACAGGTACGATGGATTTATGCCAAATGAGAATTCGTTTGGTGCCGCTGCCCCAAGAGACCCCAGGAACCCCCTCATTCGCATTTGGACCAGATTAGAAGTCTTGGACCTTCCAGTGCCCAGGTAATTATCTCATATTTCATAACTAAAGTAAAAATTTTGGTATTTTTTTTGTTAATACATCCATTTGAATAGTTAATTATTCTCTTGCAAAGTATAGGGTTTAAAACGTCATTTCTGACAGTACCTAAATAAACAAAGCAATTTTGTTTAAAACAATCTTATCCAAAGATAACTAAGTATTAGTAATTTTAATGTTTAAATCAATATTTGTTTTTAATGGAACTAACCTAAAAATATGTTTTTTTCTCTCTAAATTCATTTATTATGAATTACTTATAATAATAAGGCACAGCATCTTCTCAATACTTCTTACTTCATTTATCAGCATACAAATGTAGCCTCAGTCTAAACAACAAGCTGCAACAATTTCCTATTTATTCTTATTTGTTTGTAACATTCAATTATTTATCTTCTTTGAAGTGTCATAACCTCAACATTATTATAGACTTTAGAAAATTTTTACTCATTATGACTGACTTGCATGTATCTAGGCAATTAATGAATGATTTTGTAGATTTAAAATTGATAACAATTACATTGGTGAGCCCCCATCGATTGAAGTAACAATATTCGAGTTGAATGACAACATCGATAAACAGTTCCTGAAGGATATGGTTCAGAAGTTCGGTGTGATCGAAGAGCTATGCATTTACTATCATCCAGTTTCTAATAAGCATTTGGGCATTGGAAGAGCAGTCTTTGAAGCTGTCAAAGGTGCAAAAGCGTGTGTGGAGAAACTGAACAACACAAGTGTCATGGGGAAAGTGCTGCAGGTGTTTCTGGACCCGTTCGGTGAGAAATGCAAAGCTAAATTCGAAGAGTGCACTGTGGAGAAGAAACCGGCACCGCCTCCGGTGCCGGCGGCGGTGGCTGTGGTTCCTCCTCCAGCAGACGAGGGAAAGAAACCTATCGAAATAGAGGACAAGAAAAAAGTGGACGTTGATATGGATATAGATCGGAGCTTAGGAGATTTGGATAGGAGATCATTGAGGAAAGACGATTACGGTAGGGGATATCATAGGAACGAGTACGCAACACCAGGTGGTTCAGATATTGGATACGCGACGGCTCCTAGTGACTATTCGGGTTACGGTTCTAGTAATAGCACACCGCTGCCGCCTTATGATTATAACATGGCTGCAATGGGATCGCAATATTATGGGGGTTATCATCATCCGCATCCTATGGTCGCTCCGCCGATTCCATGGGGACATTGGGAAAGTGGTAATTCGTGGGATAACAAACCTGCGCCACCGCCAAGTAAAAAGTGGCCATCCGAAGCTAATCATGTGATCGAGAAGGATAAAAAGGATTGGAAAGATCGCGACCGGGGGAAGAAAAAGGCTGGAAAAACGAAGTCGAAAGAGAAAGAGTGGGGCGAGAAGAACGAAGAAGAACAGAAGACTTTAGATTTAGACACCAGGTTAGTCATCAATGTTGATAGATGTAACTTTATATATTACTATTATTTTGTTTTTTTAGAATTGCAATGCTTTTAAAAGGAAAGGGTTCCGGAGGTATGGCTCCGCCTTTCTTAACGTTGGGCGACGATTCGGAAGATGAAAAGGTCCCAAATGCAGACGGTGATAATAAATCCATGCACATACCGACTTCCGTAGATAGCGACGATGATCATTCGAGTGTGTCGCTCAGCGATTTGCCGATAAATCCACCTGCGCCGGATGCTGAAACCGCTGATCAAGATCAAGAGGTAAAAGAACCACCGATTTCGCCGTTCCCTTCGCCATTTATAAGTAAAGAAGTTTACCTGGAGTGCCATAGAAATATAATTGAAAAAGTAATTGCATTTTTATCCTTGTTCATGCAAACAGATTCAAATTCAACGTCTGATTTGATTACAGGTATTAATGGCGAAGCAGAAAGATGTTTTACTTAAGAAGAACTTGCGTATGAAAGGAAAATTGGAAATTGATAAAATTGGTAGCGATATCTCGTCAAGCGAGGACGAATTATTGACAGGTGAACATAATTACAGTCCGATCGAACGTTCGGACTTTAAAATCGAAAATAACGGCAAGATCGACGACGATGATCAAATGAGTTTGTCGTCGTTGAGCAGCAATGACCAGAAGATTGAAGAACAACAACCGGACGATATACCTCCACCACCGCCTCCCATCCCGCCTGGGCACTTCAATCCGTACCAGCAGTACGGATATCCGCCAGGTTATGGGTACGGAGGAAATTACGCTGCAACCAGTGGAGATTGGCGTACGTATACGGGCTACAGTTCGCAGATGTATCTTTCCCAATATTCTCAATTCGGGAATCTGCAGCAATCGCAACCGTACATGCCTTACCAATTACCTCAACGTCGATACGAGACCTCGGTGGTGGCCATAAGTGATAAAGATGATCCGCATACACCTACAATAAGCGGAGTGGTTCAGCAAATTACGCAAGAACTTAAGCAAATTCTCAAGAAGGACTTTAACAAGAAAATGGTGGAGAATACTGCATTTAAACGTTTCGAAGCTTGGTGGGAAGAGGAGTCCACTAAAGAGAGGAAGGACGAGGACAGAAATAACGCTATTGCTGCGGATCTGAAAATCAATCAATCCAAGGATAATCTTAATGTCCTGCTGGAGTCTAATCGCGATAGTCTTTACAGCGGAGAAACTATTGGCTTAGGGTTAGGTCTGAGAGCTTCGCTGCCGAAAATGCCCAGTTTCCGTAGGAAAAAAGTGCTGAGTCCTGTGCCCGACGACGAAGACTCGAGGAAACTCTCGGATAACGAGGAGATCATTCAAAATTCCGATTCGGAATCGCGAAATTCGGCTAGCGTCGCGTCTCGTCCATTGCGTCGCGTGAGGAAAGCTTCCACCACTAGCAGCTCGGATGGATCCATATTCAGTGAATCCAGCAGCGAATCTTCGTCGGAAGATGATAGTAGCGCATCGGAATCCGAGGTGGAACGGGTACGAAGAAGTCCGACGCCGCTCGATAGGAAAACTCCAGTTCCAAAAGTGGAGCCAGAACCAGAAGGAATTGACGAAGACTTTAGCTCTCCTAAGGAAGATGTTGTCGAAGCGACGAGTAAAACACCGGCGGAACCTATGATCGTTGAAGACGAAGTGAAAAAGCCGAAAAGTACCCTGGACAAGATGCTTGACAGTGATAGCGATTTAAGCGATGACGAGAAAGATTACCTCGAACGTAGACGCAGAAACACCGAATGGATGATGCAAATCGAGATGGAAAGGCAAGAAATTGAGAAGAAGAAAGAGAACGTTGAAACAGTGAAAGAAGCTAAAATGAAGGAAGAAGTTAAGGTCGCGATCAAGGAAGACGAAGATAAGAAATCGGAAGATATGGAGAGCGCTGCCATTGAAACGTTAATGTCTTTGGCGACGAAGAAAGAAGAGAAACTTCAGTCCAAGAGCTCCGACGACGAGCTCTCGTTGGATCAACGTAAACGCAATAATAAAAGAAACATTACAAATAACGGAGAACTTGAGCGAGTTAAAAGTTTGTCCGAGTGTTCTTCCGTCAGCACTCCGGGCTCTCAGGTTGCTATCGAGCATAGCTATTGTATGCCGCCGCAGAAGGAGAACATTGAATTTACCGATAAACCAGTGTTGACGCAGGAGAGTTTCTTCCACGATCACGGTTACACCAGCAGAGAGGAACGCGTCAAGTCGCCCAAGCAGAAGCCGCCCATCAAAGATAAACCACCCCGACAGCGTATCAAGAATGTCAAACATAAAAAGTTACAGGAGCTGCAGAACTATCCGGACATCGAGGAAGAGGAGGAGGCGGAGGAGGAAGCAACACCGAAACCCGTCTCAAATTTGCATGGTTCTGTTAAATTCAAGGAACGCGATATGGGCACCGAGATGGCGCTGCTCTACGAGTTCCTCACGAAGGGCATCGATCCTGAAGATATTCGCTACTTGCGCAGCTCCTACGAAGCCATGCTCGCCGACGACTCGATCGGCTATTGGTTGAACGACACCCATTGGGTGGATCACTGCCAAACAGATTTATACTCGACTCCGCCCAAAAAGCGGAAACGCGATGATATGCGAGTGCACGCGACCGGATGCGCGCGTACCGAAGGTTTCTACAAGATTTCAGCACACGAAAAGGCCAAATACAAATACCACCACACCAGGAGTTTAACAAATACATCGCCAAGTACGAATGCACCGATCACGAAAATGCAAGGTAAACTAGAGAGAAACGAGCAACGCGACTTCTATTATTATTATATTATAATGTACATTTTTTAGGTTTATCTCGAGAAGCTCGCTCGAATCAGAGACGTTTGTTAACGGCGTTCGGCACGGACACCGATTCCGATTTGCTCAAATTCAACCAACTGAAGTTCCGCAAGAAGCAGATCAAGTTCGCCAAATCTTCTATCCACGACTGGGGATTATTCGCGATGGAGCCAATTGCTGCCGATGAAATGGTCATCGAGTACGTGGGGCAGATGGTGAGACCAAGCGTCGCAGATATCCGAGAAAGGAAATACGAGGCCATCGGAATCGGCAGTTCGTATTTGTTTAGGATCGATCTCGAAACGATCATCGATGCAACAAAATGCGGAAACTTGGCGCGATTCATCAATCATAGTTGCAACGTAAGTTCGATTATTTACCAATTTATTTCAGAATTAATATTTTTGTTCTACTTGCAGCCCAATTGTTACGCTAAGGTGATCACTATAGAATCGCAAAAGAAGATTGTAATATATTCGAAGCAGAGCATCGGCGTAAACGAGGAAATCACTTACGACTATAAGTTCCCGTTGGAGGACGAAAAGATACCTTGTTTGTGCGGTGCGGCGACATGTCGTGGCACGTTGAATTAATACGTGGAAATCTATTATCGTGTTCATCATCAGCAAAAGAAGAAAAAAAAACAGTCTTGTACATTTCTCTTAATGAAGGGCAGACGCATCAAGAGGAACCAAAAAAAAAAACAGGAGAGACATAAATTACGACTGCGAAATGACCTTATTGAGACGAGATTTGAACTAATTATTTTTTTTTAAATGAGACAAAACTGTATTCAGTTCATAATTCATAACAACTATGTTCTTGATGGAGTATAGCAAAACGTACAATTCTGCCAGAATCTCCTCCTTCGCTCGCATGAAAACTCGTTAAGAACGCAGCAACTGTGGCCGATGAATGTTGTTTTTTACCCTAATTTCATTTTCCGATAATTGATGATTTTATTATTATTTAATTTGTTTTTAAAACAACTCTTATTTTGTAAATACACACACACACATAATTGAAACTCAATATGAGAAATCAAGATTGGCTTGACCTTGGCCAAAGCCCCCCCCCCGCCCCCTCAAATGGAAAAAAGAAAGAAACAAGCATTGATGCAAACCAAACGTTTTTTGTAAATACTATTTGTTGATTTGTGTGATCCATAGCTCTTATCGATTACTTTTCTCTGTAAATAATTTTCAAACTTTTTTTTTTAAATTAAAACTCGCAAGGATTTATTAAATGATTTTTGAGAGGTAAATAAAACATGTTTTTTTCTTCTCTCTCTCTCTCTCTTCAATATGTATATAATATATATACATATATGATATATGAATAAAAACTAATACTTCATAATAATTAAAAAAATAAATACGTAATTACATTGTCGGCTCCTTTCCACTGGCACCACTCTTGCTCATATGTTGCATATCCAATTGCGCCTGTGCGATATCACTTAAAGCAGCTTGAATTTTCTCCAAAAGATCTTGTCCCCTTTTAACAACCACCTCAAGTCTCTCTGCTGCCTCCTGATTCTCCGTTTCCAGTGTCCTCAAACTCTGCAACTGATTTGCTATACATTACAACTGGGGAGATCTTAAAAGTTTACAAATCAAACCTGCAGTTCTGTTGAATTCTCTTCACTCGGCAAAGATTCAATTAATGTATCTATGTCTTTGGAGCATCTGGCTATGAGTGTTGTGAACAATTGCACATAATCCTCCTGCGATTGCTGCTGTGGTGTTTGAGATCCGCTCCTATCGAAGCCAGAGAACTTGCTGGGACTTGCGAATTGTTGCAAAATACCAATACTGTTGCAGAAGTTATCTGCTTGCTACAATAATTTAAGTTTCTCATGAATATTTTATATTTACTCTTGGTGCACACGTTTCTTACCTGGTTGATGCAGTCTTGTAACTGTGTTAAACGATCAGCCATTATCACAAATTTACAAACTAAACTAAGAAACAAAAAACAAACGAAAAGTTGTAAACTGTGTACTGTGAACTACTGAACTGAACAACTTTTCAACTGTTAGTGTCCACCAGTGTATTTACAAATTGGTATGTCAAATCCATTTTTGACATACATGGATATCGACTGGCGCCCCCTACAGAGCTGCCAGAGAAAGCTTACACCAAAACAAAGCAACATAACCTCAATATGATGTATATTAGTTTATTATTCAAGATTTAACAAAAACTTACAACACAATACTTACATTTAATAACTGTACCTTATATAAATATAGTGATATATAATGAAATCGAAGATATTAATAAAACTTATTTAGAATTTTATAAAAAAAAAATTCACATTTTAAATTATTTCGCGCTTGCACTTGTGGCGCCACCTATAGAGCTGCCGGTGTACTAAGGATTCCATACAGCACTGTAGTGTTTTCACATTTCATTTTTCTCGAAAACTATAATACGTGCAATGAATCCAAGATATGCATAT